GATCGAACAATAGAATCGAATGTCTCACGGTTATGGGACAATCATAATCACGCTCATATACGGGGTGACGCGGAAATTTCTCCCGTTCGATTCTCGTGCCAATCTTTCGGCTATAGACGAAGAAACGTGGATGATATTTGGAGTCGATTATCGAATAAAAGATTGCAAGAAGGTCCACTTCGTCGTTGAAGACAAATCGAATTGAAATCAAATCAAAGGTGACCTCCAGGAAAAAAAAAAAGAAAAAGAGGAAAGAAACGCGGAGAATCTGGAACGCCGTATCTCTCGAGAATGTCTCGGAATTATCGCCACATCTTTCATTCTTCATCGCGAATTCCTCGATCAATTTGTCGCGTGCCTCCCGCTCGACGAAAATTTGCTATCGCCACCGAGACACCGGGTGTAATAAGAAAGCGAACTATAATTCTTCGAGATCTTGCACGCGCGATTAGCGACGCCCGGGTTACTTCCGCCTTGCATTTCACATTCATCAGCAGCGCCTTGCAGCCGGCGTTATCACGAGTTTCGAATTTACAATCATTCATAATTCATTTCATATTCTTGCTATCAATTCTCATTAACGCTAAGAAACCATACGTTATAATGAATAATGTATCGAGGAGTTACGAGGATGTAACGAGCCGAGAAATAGCATATTTTCAACACCATGTAAATTTTTATTTAAAAAAATAGATGAATAGTTTTTGTCTTGGAAAAATGTGTTTTTGATAAGAAAATAAGATGTAAAATTAGAACAAATTTGCAATTGGATAAATAATGCGTTCTAAAATAATATAATCGCAATCCATATGCGATCACGATAATTAAAACATTTAATGATTTATCTAATCAACTTGAGATTTTTAATAACATTCCATAATATGTTATGGAACAGAAGCTTTCCGTAAATATTTCTTTAAATTATAATAAAAAATAAATTTAAAAAAAAACAATTTCTTAATCCAGATTTAGTTTCATAAAAATAAAAATAAAATTTTACAAAATTCTTGCTATGAATCGAAAGTAATAAATGCAAAGATGAAAAAAACGCCTACATTATATAGTTTCAAACAATTTGTTAAGACTAAATCTTGGCCACCGCTTTAGTATATAAACTGGTGATAAATTATTTATATTATCTAATTGTTATTATCTAATTGCGTGTTCTAATTTTGCTTTTGATCTTGTTTTTCTTATAAAAATATTAAAAAATATTCCATTTTTTTATTTGTTTCTATATATTGCTCTAATATTTCTTTATCTCAAAAATAAATTATATACAATAATAGTAATAATAATAATAATAATAATAATAATAATAATAATAATAGTAACAGTATTAATAAATCATTTTGCCTCGTTTACTCCAATTATTCCACTTGATTAATGTACATTTCTATCAATTTAGATTAATTCTAATTTTGGTTTATTTATTTTGTCTAATAATTCTAATAAAAAGTTGAACTGAAAATAAAATTAATCTACACGAAGAAAAACAGTTTTGCTGGTAAATCTAAAAATTTGATCTCATACAGATATAGATCTGAGGTGGTAATTTTACACCAAAATTATCTAAATTATTATTACGGCTTAAACATAATAACAATAATACTGCAAACATTTTTGATTCTTTAATAGCCAATTTCAAAAGCAATACATAATAATTTGGAGGCCCAACATAATTATTTTCTATCTATATCTGGCCAAATTTTTAAACTTGCCAGCAAAACTATTCTTTCCAGGTGGATACACTGAGAAAAAAATTGTTGTTGAATCAACAGCATTAGTCTAAATAATATTAAAATAATTTTGTTAATTCAGTGATATTCTTAATGAAACAAATATGTTATGCTCTTATTTTAATAATCGAGATCTTTGTTTCATTAATAATGTCATCGATTTGACAAAATTATTTCCAATTAGACTGTTGATTCAACAGCATTTTTTTCTCAGTGCATAAGTCGTACATTTATTCGAATGTAAGAATTTTATAAAGGGACGACATTATATTTAAAGGCATGATATCTATGTATCGCGCTCTTTATTCCACGAACAAAGTCTCCTAAATTATTACTGTCGGCCGCAGGATTTCGCGCGCGCAAGTATGCGCGACAAAGCGGAGGCGAGGAGCGGAAGCGAATGAAAACGAAGCGAAATTCCGCGGCAACGCGCAGAGCCCAGTCCGCGTGCAATGAAATTTCGTGCCGTAACGAAGTTTCATTGGAATATCCCGCCACTGTCCTCGAACACAACGAAGCGGCACTCGATACGGTAAAAGCCTCGACGCGGCCATCCGACGTGAAGCTCGTCGTAACGAGCTTTCGCTGTAATGCAAACGCCACACGTTGTTTATACGCGTCGTTACTACGTCGAGCTCTGCTCCGAGACAAAAAGGATCGGCGATTTTCTCACCGAGGATAATTCAGGCGTCGATGGAAGCATTCGCGCTTCATCATCTCGCTCGTGAAAAGATGAGCCGAGAGGCGTCGATGATTGAGTTAACGAACGCGCCGCAAGAGCCACGTAAGCGAGAGATTCGATTTGCGTTGCGTAATTAATATTGATTTGATTTAGTTGTTACTTAATTGACAGCAAATCGGATCAGGGATCATAAATATGATCAGGGAACGCCCACTATGTCGTTTTATCGTTCGTGTTAAAAGCTACGACTTGTACCACGTGATAAACATTCCCGAGCTGATGGCTTTCGCGTATTGCATGGAGATGAGGCTTACTCATTCCTAATAAATAATGTAAACGTTGCACGGTATATAAATAGATGAAATTTATTCTCGAGTAATCAGTTTTGTTTGCTTGTAACGTAATTTTATTAATCGCTTCTATGCTCCATGTGGAAGCAATTAACATGTAATTTAGTCCTCATTAATTGCTCTTATGCTCCCCTACATTTACGTGGCGATTATTTCGCAAAGAGGATCTGTGGGATCATTAAGTGATTCATCATATTATCAAACTGGCAAATGCGTTATGCGCGATAAAATAAAAAAACCGAACCGTATCGGGTCGTCGAACAGCTATAAAGATCGATTACGATCGACGTGTCGACAATCGTAAAAATGGTCCAAGTCGTAAATCGAGGAGGAGCCCAATTATTTGCACACATTTGTTAATTTACGTTGTGCGACACGCCGGAACGTTGTCACCACCGGAAAAACAATCAACGTCGAAATATAAACTCACTGTTCATGTAAACTCGAATCAAGCCGATTTAAATTTTTCACTTAGAATTTTTACATTTCCACTTTAAATGGAAAATAATTGAAAAACTCTTTTGCGCTTTAAAACTAAGAAATTGTTTATCTATTTCATATCTCGAAGATGCAAAGAATAAGCGTTCTTATGAAATGAACAT